GAACCTCTAATTCCTGGTGGAAGAGGCATGTCTATTTGTGTCCCTTGAGCAGGCGAAAGATAACTGGTGGGCTCATGGGCAGTCTCATACCAGGTTGAGGTGCCATAATTCCTGGAGGTGGACCATCTGTTACAGGTGAGAGTGGACTCTCCTGTCCTGTTGGGTCCTGGGTTGGGGGGCCACAGTGTTGGCAGGAGCAACAGCAGGACCTGCTACAGTGCCTCTTTTCTGTGGAGTCATTACGTCCTGGAATGGACTTCAACTTCTTAGGCAAGCCGGGTAATCCGGTAACATCCTGGTGCATAGGTACACCAGCTGCCCTCTTAACCCCATGACCTCCTGCAGTGCCATCAAATGGCCAGTATCTTTAGAGGCAGGCCCTCCAACAGCCATAGATACCAAGTTTCCCCCACACTGTCACAACAGACCCCGAGCTTGTTTTGCTTTGTGCTCTGGCTATTTTGAGTTACTTGGTGTGATCTTCCTGAACTAAGATGCTTGTCCAAAGCCGTAGTGGTGTTGATGAAGACGTGACCATCTTGCAGGCTACATTTTATTCTGCAGTCAATGGACTGCAGCATCTTGCTACTCTTTCCCACAGTTGTGATTACTGTTCCACAGTGTCTGGTGTTAGCAGCAAAATTTTGACTTAATCCCTAGCGTAGAGCTATAAATAAAGATATGATACCAGTTCTACAAACAATGCATGTGTGGTTCAGAAGCCTTACAAATAGTGGATGGGTCCTGTGCTTTGTTATTTTTTTTTTTATTTTTTTTTATTTTTATTTTTTGTGCAGCTTGCACTCTTGGCTGCTCAGTGAGGCCCTCCCACATTTGACTTAGGTTCCACCTCTGCCATGTGCTGGTCAGTAGTTCTTCTCAGGTCTAAGCTGTATCTTGGTCTCTTCATTGGGCTTCTGAGGCTCACCAGACATGTGTGTCAGGCACCTCCACTTGCCCCTCCTCTCTGCCTATTTCAAAGTGATTTTTAACATTAGAAAAACTGCAGTTTATTGACAAGTTCCTCACAGAGATGAGATGCAGTGATTCTCATGAAGCCCCGGGAATCTTATGCACTCCCAGCTCTGCCAGAGTTGAGTTGTGGCTTTGGAAAGACCATTGTTCTTTGGTCAATTGATCTGTTGAAAAGGAAAAACACACTTTTCTGGTTTTAGTTTTACTCTGGTTGCTTGTTGTTGTACAGAAACAGCAATGTAAAATGCTAAGCACATAGTCAATCTGTTTAATTCAACAAGTTTCTGTATTGATAGCTTAACATTTAAAAAGTGTTAATTAGTCAAAAAGCAAGTAGCATTAGTGATTAAAGAGCAGTGATTCTGGAGCCTAACAGTTTATAGAAGTACCAGCATTATAACTTCTTTGCAGAGATTCTTAACTTTTCTGTGCCTCAGTTTCCTTATCTATAAGACAGGGATGTTTTTATACAGATGGCATGAAATAATGCAATACATGCTTATTACAACACCTGACTTTTAATCAACTTTCAGTAAGTATTATATCCTATTTTAGTTTTTGAATTCACAACCTATGTGGTCAAAATCTCAAAAAAAAAAAAAAAAGACAGGAAGATTGACACTAATTGCTCAGCATAAAGTAAGATTGTAAAATGGAGCTAAACCAAGTGTTGAGCAAGGACAGCGATCAGTTCTGCCTGGAAGACTCAGTGACCTGGTATGAAGCGATATGGATGGTAACTTTATACCTTTATCTCTCAAATGATGAGTCACTATCTCAATGTGTGTAATATGATGGTGATAATTCAGGTTTTGAAACATTTTGTTTTTTGTTTTTTTTTCCTAAGGGAGGCTGAATCTTCTACTTTTTAGTTAGATGTCATTGACTAGCAAGCAGGTTATAGTGACCAGCTGTGCCACAGAAGCACATGAGGGAGGTGAACACCATCTGGAAGAATCTCAGGTGGAGGTTTCTATGCAGTGCTGTGGTATAGTTGGGGAGGAAGAAGGAAACTGTACAAAGGAAGTGGAAGACCCCAGTCCTACCTATACTGACAGTCCCTTTTTTGTTGTTGTTATTTTGTTTTGTTTTTTTGAGATAGGGTCTCCCTGTAGCCCTTCCTGACCTGGACCAGGCTGGCCTTGATTTTACAGAGGTCCTCCTGCCTCTGTCTCCCAAGTGCTCGGATTATGGGGTTAAAGTAAGTGTCACTACCCCTGGCTCTGAGAACCCATTTGTATTTGACCACTGGGTGAAATGTTTGGCTTCCACAGAAAAATGCTTCAATTTTTGCTATTTTACTTCATAACTAGAACTGAGAACCTCTCCTTTATTAAAAAGAGGTCATTCTAAAAGAATCAATGTTTTTGAAAGTTTTCTAGGATTCAAGGGTTAACATGAATGCTTTTCTAGAATAATTATTAGTAATATTCTTAATATATTTAGTTTAATGTATGGTTTGTGTGTTGCATTCTGCCTGACACGGCATCTCATTCCATTCAGGCCTTTGGATAGACAGATTTCTAGCTGTTTTTCTACATAATGCATGTTAGTATCTGTAAGATTAAATTTGCTTTGTTTCTTCACATATCAGTTCATATTTTGTATTCCTATCTAATAAAATCAGATTTATTAATATATACCATAAATACACATACACACACAACTTTCTTAGACTTATAAAATAGTCAGTCATATGACTTTTAATAACTAGCTTTTTACTTACCCAGGTGTCTTTCTAATGACTTTCTCTCTCTTTCTAATGACAGAAAAATATAAAAACAAGTGAAAAAAGAGCTGGGCATGGTGTGTACGCCTTAAATCCCAGGACTCGGGAGGCAGAGGCAGGCGGATCTCTGTGAGTTCAAGGCCAACCTGATCTGCATCGCGAGTTCCAGGCTAGCTGGAGCTACAGAGGCCCTGTCTCAAAAAATACCAAAATAAACAAACAAACAAACAACCAAAAAGAAAAACAAAAAAAGCACCCCCCCCCAAAAAAAACCCCCAACAACCAACCAACCAAGTCAAAAAAAAAGTCCTGCCTAGGAGCAAATAGCTACCTTTTAGTCAAAATACCTGAGAAAATCCCATTTTAAAAGATGAGTGATTTACTTTGGCCGACAGTTTCAGAGGTTTTAATCTTTCAACACTTGGCCCTTTTGCTTTGGGCCTGGGCCAAACAGTGTACCACAGTGTGAGTCTGTAACAGAGATCTGTTCAACTCATGGCTGCCAAAAAGCAAAGAGAGGGAAGAAGATGCCTGGGTCCCAGAGTCCCCTTCAAGGGTACAGTCCCAGTGATGTGACTCCTTCCATTAGGCCACAACTCACAAAGATTTCACACCTACAGTAGCATCACAGGTCTGTGTCTGAGATTTTACTCCATAGACCTTTAGAGACATTCAAGATTTCGACTATAATGCTACCTGATAACAAACTTGGATGGCTTTGCTACCTTTGAGGATTAACAGGGGAGTATTAGGAGAAAGAAAGAACCTCTCAGCACAGAAAGCAGACCAGACACCTGCAGTAGAAATGAAATCTTGTGTACTTAAGCAGCTCCCCCAAATATTTCTCTTTTACAGTATCATCTACTGTATTGGTGTGTGCCGAATCACAAATAATCATGCAACCAGGTTCCACTTTTCCTTATTGAAAAAGAATAATAATTGACAGATGTGGGGTGGCTCCTGATTTTAAAGGGCTGTTGTAAGGGCTTTAGATATACTACCATTTTATCTTGTAACAACTCTGTGAGAGTGTTACTGTCATTCCTAGTTTATAGACAAGGAAGTTGAGATTTAGAGACATTAAGTAACTTGTTAAAGGTCACAATTATAGTTAGAAAATAAGAGAACAGACTAATTTCCAATTCCAAAGTCTTTATTCATAAACCTTATTAAGGCAGAAAATGTATCAGACATAATTATAAAGATTTCTAGTGGCACTAAAATTTGAT